GAGGGTTGAGGGGGTGTCTGTGATGTGGTGCAGATGCGCTTTTTTTTTTGTTTTTGTAAGGTGTGTGTGTGTATACAAGCGGGCGCGCGTGCGAGAGATAGATAGATAGATAGAGAGAGAGAGAGAGAGAGAGAGAGAGAGAGAGAGAGAGAGAGAGAGAACAGATCCCTTAACACGGCTCAGACGGTCCATGCAGGCTATCTGAAGGGTCCTCGCAGCCATGTAGCGCAGACCCCCCACCAAAATCGAGGCAGGCAGTGAATATGAAGTAGAGCACGAGCTGGCCGAATATATACTCAAGATTCGAATTCAGGTCTGTGTTTCAGCAGTTATGGGTTGCTCACGTAGCTAGGCCCTGTTGGTCTCTGCACGTGACTCTTAGGGCTTGGCTGCACTACTCACGAAATGTGCAAAATTAGAATGAATCTTCTGCATAACGTGGAATAATACGCCACCATATGTTTTGTCTTTTGTGCAGTTGGTGAGTAGAGGCCCTTAGGGCCACTGCACGTATTCCTAAGAAAAGAAAAACGAGAAAAGAAAAGAAAAGCGAGAAATCAGAGAAATAGTGACCCATAACCGAGATGCACAGACCTGAATTCGAATCCAGACTATATTATTCCCTGCCCACCCTCACGGAATACAAGTTTGAAGTGTACCTCTGCATGATGTCAGGTCCTAGCTAATATGCTGTAGGGATGTGGCATACTGCGCAGCCACACAGGCTTGCAGGGCCCGACCAGCGTTCTCAGCCTAAAAGCCTGAAAACAAGGGCCTACAGGCCCTGTGTCGTTTTCAGCCTAAAAGCCTGAAAACAAGGGCCTACAGGCTCTGTGTCGTTTTCAGCCTGAAAGCCTGAAAACGAGGGCCTACAGGCCCTATGTCGTTTCAGCCTAAAACAGGGCCCTCCAGGCCCTGAGTCTTTTCAGTCTGAAACGGAGGGCCATTTCCAGGCCCTCATAAGATCGACCTGCCCTGAAACTTAGGCACCAGACCAGGGTGTGGCACGTTTTGGCATTGGCAAGAGCAGCCTCCTGGATGGGCCAGCACTATATAAGACTGGCCCGGCCTGCAGGCTGCAGACAGTCACGAGGTAGTTCATAGGAACTTCCCAGGCACTTCACGTGCAGGAGGCAGGAGGCAGGAGGCAGCAGGATCCGGCAGCAGCACTCTGGAGGAGCGCTGCAGTAGTACTAGTAGCGTTAGCAGTAGTCTTCAGCGCTGGGCGCTATTAGGAGCTAGAGTAGCGTTGGAGAGAGAGAGAGAGAGGGTTGGCGGAGGCCAGGGAGACTTACCTGTGTCGCCATAGCTCCAGCTTCGTCTTCGATGTACCTGCAAAAAGGCGCCACCTTCCAGGTTAGTACCAGACTGAGAGAGAGAGAGTTCTTCTTCTTCCTCTTCTAAGTCCAGCATCTCCTCCTCACCCTCTTGCTACCTGACTTCTCAGTATCTGCAGACTAGGAGAGAGAGAGAGAGAGAGAGAGAGAGAGAGAGAGAGAGAGAGAGAGAGAGAGAGAGAGATTGGTGACTTTGGGACTTGACGACATTTGGATCCAGACTCGACATTGGGATTCAGACATTTGACGAGGGATTATTTGGGACCTGTACCGAAGACTTGGTGTTGACGACATTCTCATCTTCCCCTCTTCTTCGTCTAACCCCCCTCTTCTTCGTCTGTGTATGGTTGGGAACTGGCGCATTCTTCCTGTGTGAGCGCCAGGCCCCTTCCCACCATGGAATGATGATGATGGATGTCTGGTCTGCGTTGCAACAATGATTGTTCGGATCATTGGTATTTAAGCCTTCCGCTGTGCTATCTTGTACTATGTGAGAGAGGTCGGTTCTTGTTCTGGTGTGTACCGTTACGGTATGCGACGACCTTCTGAAAAGAGGCTGGACACAATTAGGACGTTTTTATTTTTCTACTTTTTTAATGCGCCGCATCACTTGTGCGTGTGTGCATGCGCGTGCGGCACCCTTGCGCATGAGATGCGC